TTTTTAATTGACGTATAATACCTAAAAATAAACAAAATGTTAATAGACAATAAAAGAATTTTTTAAAACGATTATCGGCATTATTGTTTTGTATATTTTGTCTTGATAATAATAATTTTACAGCTAGTAGTGAACCAACTATAAAACTACCGTATCTTATATGTAATGGATAATAAAAATATTTCAAATGAGTTCTTAATATAACTGAACTTTTAATATAATTTAAATCATTTGTCACCATTGTTTCATTTATTGATAATAATGGTAAATTATTAAATTCAAAATATACTTTAAGTTGCGTATAATTTATCGCAATTATTGGATGTAATTGTACACCTTCTTTCAATAGATTCATTGTTGTTGAATCAAAACAATATAAACAAATACAGAACGATGATAATAATAATATATATAAAATATCATAGATCTGTTTCAAGTTTAATTTATATTTCATTGATAGAAAATATATTAATATAGATAATAAAATATAGACTTGAAAATCAAGACTATTTGACCATGTTGCAAGCAATGATAAAGACCAATAATCAGTATTTATATAATTTTGTATCAATGGTAAATGGATAAAATACTGAATCCATTTTTTATTCGTTGATGAATCATCAAAAACATATAGATATAAATAGATTAATCCTAAACCAGGTAAATAACGTAAAAAACGTTTAAAAATAAATAAATAAATATTTATGTTTTCTTTCATTGTTAATATTTGATATGTTAATAAAAAACCGGTGATGAAAAAAAATATTTCCAACATGAGTGGTCCATAACTCGAAACTAGAAATGAATTTGTTTTTAAATATTCTAACCATTCTTTGTTTGGATACATCGGTATCAATAGAACAAATGCCAATACAATATGTAAATAAACAATTGATAAATTGGCAATTGTTCTTAAACCATCAATTGTTGAAAATTTATTTGATTTAAATAAACAATTAAAATCTTTTAAAGGTTGAAAAATGAATGAAGATGACGACGAGATTTTTACAAGTAGAAGACGAGAGAAATCTGAAATAGTTAATTGTATGTTATATTTAAAATGGCACAAATCAAGAAACTTATATAATAACGACGTAAATCATGCATGATCCTATCCAGGATTCTATGTAATTCTACTAGAAGTACATAGAATGTCTGGATATTAACTTTTCATTCTATTAACACGCATCCTATAAATTAATCATGATTCAACAAAGATAGAGATGTGTTATTCGAGAAAATGAGCGAACTTAATAGTTTGTCTGGTCTTAAAACTGTACGACGATAGAAAAATACAGCATCGAAAGAGAGAAAACGAGTGTGAACAGACGATCAAATTTGTATTTCGTTATGAGGTGCAAAAAGGACGGGCAAAACAACAATCCATTCTTTTCTCTTCTGCCTTATCCTTTTATCTTGCCTTTCTTTTAAAAAAATGAAAACACGCTATTGACAAAGTTGCAAAAAGGTATATTTGCCTGCCATCATTTAAAAGAATCCTTTCGTTTACTATAAAATGAATTTTATTTCGTTGATTTAAGCTATATTTATTGTGAAAAAGAAAAATACAGACCAAAAAAAGAAAGAGACAGAAGCACATGATATCACTTTTGACTGTTTTGATGATGTTACATATGTGTGTTCTAAAAAGCAAAAGAACAAAAAACAAAAGAGAGGTAGCAGAGAAAGAGAAAAGAGAAAAATATAAAAAATGAAGAACAGAAGGAAAATGTGTCATGTATGAGTAGAAATGGTAGTAGAAATGCAAAAGTTTCCACATTGTATATCCGTTGTTAGAAGTATCTTAATGTAGTTTTATTTTTAGTGCGTCGGTGAGAAAAGGAATGTTTTTTGCAAGATCTCATTTGAGCCTGTTTCAAATTTATAGTTTTGTACATTTGTAGGTGCATAACAACGAACTCAGCGTAATTGAAAAAGAAATGCGCATATCGAAAAGATTTACTGTAGACTGGTCATCGTTTTGTCGTGAAGTAGTTTTTGATGGAATGATTTGTCAAGCGAAACAGTTAGGTAAGAATTCAAGTTTAAGATTTTACACTTGCTCATTCATTGAATACCAGATTTATTTAGGTGGAAATGGGAGTATAGTTGAAATTGACGAGTCGAAGTTTGGTCGAAGAAAG